CTGGCACTGCACTGGTGCTCCCAGCAAACTCTGGGGCTGGTTCCAGTGGCTGCCAGCTCCCATGCTGGGGGTGACAGAGGGCAGAGACCCTCCTGGACTCACTCTCATGCTGATCCCTATGCCTTCAAATCCATGTGTCTTTTTATGGCACCCCTTCCGTGAGACATGAGCTGTCATCCTTGGCATTTCCATGCTAAGCTTCAGCAGATGAGCTCAATGGAGAGCTCTGCAAAGACTCGGCTGTCCCTGGCTTGCACAGAGCTGGAAGAGCCAAGCAGCTTGTGTGACATGCGTGTCATGGAGAGAAAGCAGAACGATGAGCACAGACAGAAATATCTGCTTGTGGTGTTAATGGCTTGCTCGTGCTGCTGTTACCAAATCCTTCCAGCCCTGGGGAGGGTCTGATCCTGTGCTGTTTTCTGGACACTTTGGGCCAGGGCTTTTCTTTCACAAGGTGTTTGCATGGTACCTGACACAGTGAGGCTCTGAGCACAGGACCAGCAGCACCACCAGGTTCTTAGAAAAATGTAAGGAAACCTAAGTTGCGTTTAACTGACTTGTGAATAGTCCTCAGATGAACCTCAAAATTACTAAGAATGTCTTTGAATTAAATTTCTCCTCCTTCTTTTCTATCTTTTTAAAAAGAATGCTACTAAAAAACCAGATTGTAAGCAACAAATCATAGATATAAAATAGCACAGCTGGTGCAGTACTGACACTCTATGCAAAAAAGAGAGATATAAGCATACATCAAAACCAAAGATGAACCAAAAAAAGAGCTCAAAGCTCTTTGGATATATTTCCTCAAGTTTTGCCTTTAAGTCTTTTCCTCTAGAAGAGCTTAAGAACTTCTGAAAATATTCCACTCTATTTGAAGTTGAATACAATCTGCAGTGCAGACACTTCTGTTTGTGGCTATCCTTCTCCCACAGCACAAGAACAGCTTGGTGTTCCTTGAGCTAGTTCTATCTCCTACTCTTCCTATGAGTCATTTCCTACAGTGGCAGCACAGCTCCTTCCTAAAGATGAACCAGGACTGACACATTGTCTGCATGGCAAGACACGCTATCAACAGCTTCCCTCACTCCTTCCCCCAGCATCCCTGATGGGGTCTTGTTTTTAGAATTATTTTTTTTCCCAGCCGCTCAAATAACACCACAAAAATCCATTAAAACACCATAAAAAGACATATTTTTCAGCCACTGCACTGGCAAGACTGAAGGTTTAAGCAGGCAGCTGCATCAGCTCCAGCCCCCAGCCCACCCCTGAAACAGGCAGATCCAGAGACGTACAGACTCCTGTTATTTCAGCCTCCTTTGTGCACTGGGCTCCAGCCATAACTCTGCCCCCAGACCACCCCCAGCACTCTCCTTCTCCTGGGCCCATATTTTGGGATGCACTGGCCTTCTGCATCGCTGATGTGGGGCAGGGAGAGGTGGAGTCAGCTTTTTCCACGACAGACTCACCATGTCCCTCACAGCTCTGCAAAACTTAACTTCCCTGGAAGGATTTCAAGCTCTGACTCATGTCCAGTTCCTCTATTTTAATCATTCCCTCTTACATCATTCTGAGGCCCACGGTGTCACATGCAACCTCCCCCAGCCCCCATCTCCTCCTCGGCTGAGCACTCATCCACTGCCAGCTCTCATCCCAAACAAAGCTAGATACAGAAATATCTGTGATACCAACTCCCTTCCTCCTCTCCAGAGCATTCACCAGCTCTGAAGGCAGCTAACAAGGGCTTCCAAGAGCTTCCCCCTGCAATGACAACACAGAGGCAGCAGAGGAACAGCAGCCACACCAGCAAATGTAAGGATGCAGGGGTGGGAGAGACCAGAGAAATCCCAGAAGGCTCATGAAAACCCCCAGGCAGCTGGGAGGCAGCAGTGGCCAGGAGATAAGTGTTGGGAAGAGAATCAGATCAGCTGGTTTGCACTTTCCATTTCTCCCAGAGACTTCCTGAATAACTGTGGATGTCACTTAATCTTTCTGTTCACGCTCGGAAGTTCAAATCGTCAGCATCGGTCCATTCAAGATTTCCTATTAAACCTGATATCATAAAGCAGGGACGGAGCCAAAACTCTCTGAAGGAGCCAAGCAGAACAAAGGTGCTCACGCATGGCCATTTAATCCCTTCCCTAGATCCCAGCCTAAGTGCCTCCACGGCTCAGAGATTCCCTGCTGATCTCGGGGGAGCCCCTTGCTTGTAGCAGTGACCGCCAGACCGAAACCCTTGCCTGGAAGATTACAAATCCTGGCCAACCAACAGCTGGAAGGCTTTGAGCCTGCAGCATGCTCTGTGCAGAGAGAGCAGAGAGCAGAGCTCCTGCACCTAACAACAGTTGCTGTGTTTGTTTTGCCCTGGCCAGTGAGTCATGGTTACACCACGGGCTCTGCACTTATTCATCACAGAGGCTTCTGGTGCAACCAGCAGCTTGCAAAAGATCTGGTATAGATTTCCAGTACCCCTCCAAAAAATCTGCTCGACTGCTCCCATCTCAGGCAAAGGACAGGCAGGATGGATGCAGCACTGCTGAGGTGCTGGTACTGCTGAGGTGTTTGCATGGCTTTTGCAATGAGAACATCAGTGAGTGGTGGGCGTGGGGCTCCTGGGGCTCCAGGCAAGGGGGGCATGGGGAAAGCACTGGATTTTTCCATGTGTGGGTGAGTGGACATTTTGCAAGAAGCCTGTGAGTGCAATGATGTCCAGAGGTCAGAGGAAACTCAGGCTAACATGAAGAACAAGGCGCAAAGGCAATGAGACACAACAGAGCTCCAACATGCCGGAGCTCTCTGTTGACTCCTGGAGCAAAAAGCTTTATCCAACTTCCTGAAGGAGGCATACAGAAGTGTTTGGAAGAAGGTTGATGGGGTTAAGTCTTTCCTTTCCATCCTTTCCCTGTTTCCTCTGCTCATTTCAATATTTTTCCCACTTACTCTTGCTTTTTGCTAGAGTCAGCACAGCCCCCCTGGTTCTTCTACACAGCTCTCACAGTTGGCTTCAGCCCTACTTGCAAACACATCTTCCTCCTGGCCAACTCTCACATCTACCTGGTGTCTCCTTGCTCCTCAAACACATCTCTGATCTATTGCACCACCAGGAACAACAACGTTTCTATACAAACCCACACTTGCATTACACAAACGAGGATGGGACAAGGGTTGGAGAGAGTCACAGCAAGAAGAGGACAATGTGATAGAACTGTCGGGAGTGCAAAGCAGGGATGGAACAGAGCCAGTACAGACACCTGGGACACTGCAATCATGGCTGGGTATTAAAACGTGCATCTAGGGAAGTGATCGGCCAGAGGCAGGACAGGAGGGAAGATGTTGCAGAAGAAAATCTGAGAAGTGTAAGATCCAAGGGAGCATGGGAAAAGAGCAATAATGCCTGTGAATTGAGCAGAGCAAGGAAGAAAGGAAGAGAGCAGTATCTCTGTGTTTGGTTTTCTTCCTGCTTGAGAAGACAGATATGGAAAGGTTTGTTTGAAGATATGAAAGGACCCAGCCAAAAGCCAAATGTCTTTTTTCCATTTTCATTCGACAAGGTCTGCATAATAGACGAGGAAAAACTTTACCGGCCTACCCATCTTGCCCCTCTTCCCAGGAACTCCAGGGATCCCCTGCAAGGAAAAAAACACAGAGAGAGAGAGAGAAAAAAAAAAAGTTCTGGTTGAGAAATCAAACAGCCAACCAACAATACAAAGCAAAATGAGAAGAGAAAGGAGAATGCAAAACAGGCTAATGACTGTGGCATTGTTTGGGAATCAAAATGTCAGCTACTTGCAGTCGGCTGCGAGAGCAGAAGACAATTAACCTTCACCCATTAACTACGGCCTCCCGAGGACACGCGCAGGCAGCATCCCCAGGCTGGGCTCTGCTTAGCAGGAGCAGTCATTAAGCTACTGGTCTGGAACCAAATGAGGGCCACCACCCAGGCACTCGCTGCAGAACTCGTGTTTGTGTTTCTTATTTAGTTCTACAAACATTAAATCAGCGTCGCCAGAGTGCAGGGCAGGCCCCTCCCAGGCAGGCACACTCCCACATGGTCCCGGGGCCTCTCTGGTTTCTTGCATTTGAGGGAGGAAAGGCTGGAATCAAACACTGTTCGTCTTCCAGTGACCTTTTTAGGAGATCTTGTTGTAGGGAGAAGGGGGTCCTTAGATGGGAAGAGATTGGGCTGGTTGGAGGATGTGGAGATGGAGAGCAGAAAAGCAAGGGGTGACCTGTAAAGCTCTGAAAACTCGGGCTGGGGGAAGGCACGATGAAAAAGAATAGGAGGAAGGGAGGACATGGCCACTGCTGCCCACTCACAGCCCCAGGCTTGACTGCCCAACTCAGTGCAACTGGAAATAAAGCCATTTTCAGAAAGCTCAGCACTGCCCCTTCCGAGAGCCAGGCTCTTTCCAAACATCTCCAGTCAGACACACAGAATGCTGAGACAGCATGGCTGGGAGGTGATTCCTGTGGGATCAGGGAATCTCCACGGACATTCTCCTCACCCTGCCCCACCTCACTAAGATGAACTGGCAAGGGGGAGAGGAAAGGCAGGTTTTTAAGTGAAGGAGAATACAAAAATCTCCTGTGTAGTCAACAGCAAGGTCTGATGGCCCTGCCTGAAGCCTGGGTTCTCCTCAGCTGAACACCATCATTATACAGGGACACAGGTCTTCATTTAAGGGTAGGAGGAGACTAGAGAAGGGATAGGTAAGCATTAGGTATGCTTGCCTCCTTCCTCAGTAAGTAGGGATAGAGAAGGTTACATCAGGCTCTGAGGAGCTGCATTCAACCAACACACCAAGGTTTTCTTCACAAAATACTCACTCGTTCTCCATCGGCTCCTGGTAGCCCAAATAATCCTGGGAGACCAATATACCCCTAAAGAAAAGAGGAGACAAGGAGTCAAATACTTTTCTGCATTAGCATACAGTCAGTCTGCATTTCCTGAAGAGCAGAGCAACCTCCAGCGTTGATCAGTGGCAGCCGAGATGAAATAAACCTTGAGGCAAGTGTATATGCCCATGGACTGCATGGTGCTGGCTTCCACGATGTAGTCCAAGGGCACATACCCTCACACCAGGGATCAGGAGGACTCCAGGCAGGAAGAGGACAGCCAGAAGAAACCTTACCTGGGCTGGCTCTAAGTGCACCTGAAGGAAATGGAGCTTGGTTTGAGGTTATCAAAAGTGATAGCAAAAGTAATCTACAGACCTACACCTCGTTTTGTCTTTCTTTGCTTTTGACACTCATTTCCAACTGTTCTGTTGTCTTCTGTCACCTGGTGGTCACACACTGCAGCCCCTTCTGGGGCAAATCCCCCCTTTTCCTGGCACCAGGGCTGCCACACCTGCAGTGAGTCCTGGCTCTGCCCAAACCTGTCCCTGCACCACCAAGACCCTGCAAACCTTCATTATCCCAAGCACTGAAGGCCCTGCATGGGCTGGGAGAGGCTGAACCTGACATTCCAGGCTCGGGGGATTGATGTGAGGCTCAACTTGCACATCCACACCATAGGGAAACCACCTTTGCACCAGCACATTTCACATCAAACCTGCTGCTTCCACACTCATCAGAAACCTTGTGTTTCCAGGTTTCTCTATGGCCGTGGGGCCCTGCTGAGACAAGACATGCTGCATAAAACACAGCGTTTCCCTTCCTTGCCACAATGGCAGCCTTGTGTTTAATCCCTTTGCTCAGCAGCCTGGACAAAGTTACCTTGTGTGCTGGGCCCCTGCAAAGGCCCGGCTGGTGCCAAACATGCTGAATCCAGAGGAAGTGAATTTCAGCAGGGAGCCCCCTCTGTGGCACCTCACTGTTACAGAAGCCAAGTGCTAACACTGCTTTTCTCTCATCTTTCTTTCTCCGTCATTGCTAAATCTCTATCTTCCAACCCCACCAAACCTTTTCACCAGCCCATCACTCCCTGTGGGTTGTGTTTCCTTTAGGGACAACACCTAGCTGGGAAATAATGCTATGTTAAAATGGTCCTGTCTGCCTTTGCCTCCTGAATCCTAAAAGAAACCACATAACTCCCAAACTTTTCCTGGAGAAGGAAAAAGTAGCGGTGAAGGGCAAAGAAGAGTCCAGAGCTGGCTCCCTTAAACCAAAAAAATGCACATATCTTACTTTAGCACCCAATTCTGATTTCCTGTAGTTGAACTAAGAAAGGGCTTCCTTAGGTATTTATAAATATTTCAGTCCTCACCACTCAAGGGTGCAAAATGGAGAATAACTTCCAAATCTTACATTCTGCACATCTACCACCTGATAATTACACAAGGTCCTGGTTAGAGCAGTGAAGAGATGCCCCAGAGAAAAGTCTAACCCTTGCAGAAGTGGGGTGAGTCTCAGATTTTCCTCTCTCCTGCAGGAACTGAACGTGTCCTTTCCCTTCCCAGCTCAGGAATACTGCTAGCTACAGGGTCAGCATTTGTTTATTCCTCGCAGTTTTCCTATTGATGAAAGCCAGCTGCTTGAATTTACTGCATATAGAGAAACTATCACGTGTTAGAGAAATGGGGATTTATTGGCTTAGAATCGCATTGTGAATTTATAATTGCAGGAAAAGAACAAAATGTGATTAACAAGAGCTTTAAGTGGTAATAAAAAAAGAATCCTTTGCAGTGAGAATAAAACCCCACCAATTATTTTTGGTGAGCAAAACCAGACAGGACGGAGATATTGTTTGTATTTGCACATGGCTTCAAGATGCTGGCTTGCTGTTGTTCACAGTGATATAAACCACTCCCAAACCAGGCTTGTACCCAAATGAGCCCATACTCAGCGTGGTTAAAGTCTGCTGAACCACACTGATTGAAACTAAAGAGGCCTTTGGGACATGGGGCTTGCAGGCTTTGATACGAATTTGTAAGCCATTCTTTCCTCTCCTGCAATGTGAGCTCTGAAGGGACTGACTTTATCATCAGCACTATTGGGGAGCTTTGATCAAGGTACATTCCATGTTTAATTTAAAAAACTTAACAGTGCTTCAATAAACAAGTGGTGTACAGCTCAAACTCCCCAAACCCAACAAATTAAAGCAACCAGCTTCAGAATTGCAAAATCTAGCCTAAAGTTTCTTGAGAAGTCTTTGATAAAAACAAGCAGAGGAAAGACAAATGAAAGGTTTCTTACCCGAGTGCCTTTTGGGCCAGATTCCCCTATGGGGCCAGGTAAACCCTAGAAGAGAAGGGAAAAAACAAAGACAAATGTGGACAAGCTTTAACTTAAAATCAGGAGCAGTGCCAACCCCCCAAGCACCATTCTTGCACGGTTCTGCTCTAAGTGCTTCTTAAAGCTCTTAAAGCTTTAAGTGCTGTATGGTTCTGCTTTAAGGTTTTGCTTTAAGCATCCAAAGAGTATCAACAAAGGAGAAAAAAAGACAAAATAATACAAATAACAGATCTGCCATTGTTGGGGAGCTAGGATTTGGCAGAACCTGAGACTGCTGCACACAGTGAGCCTTCCCTGGGGCTGAAGTAGAGATTTCTGATGATAAAGACCACAAGGGCTGATGCAGTGGGGTGCCCAGAGGTTGTGTTACACTTGGGATGCGAGGCACAGTGATGCTCTGTGCCCAACAGCTCTCCATTCATCTTCCTGCCTGAGCAAACACATGCATAGCAAATGTATTCCAATACCTACTTAGGGAACACTGGTGCAATGAGAAATTTCTACAGCCTAGAAGGTCACTTAGCAATGCAGCTACTGTGATATCTCTAACCCTTTGCAGCATCAGCTATGGAAAGAATTGAAAATTAATTCCCCATTCTAATTCTATGCCCAATTCTGCTCGCTCAAAATATTGCAAAGAAGAAAAGTGCAAAAATGCAAAATAAATTTTCATGTTTATTGCCTTCTAGCAAGTTTCCAGGTAAATTTTTTTCAAGTTCCAAATTTTGATGGGATTTTCTGGGGGAAGAATAAAAAAAAAAGCAAAGTCCATATTTTCTTCAGCTGGCAGCACTGCAGGCTCAGCCTGGGATGTGAAAGTCAGGTTGTGCTCTTTCCTGGCTCCTGCATCATTGCCAAGGATTTCAGGCATCAGGGTGAAGTTACAATCCTGCCTGTGATGCACAAACCAAACCCGAGCCAAGCACTCTCTCCCATCTCTGCAGAGCCAGCACAGCTGACAGGAGTAACAAGTAGTAAAATCTCTGTAAAGTAAACAGCCCTGATGCAGGATACACACAGCATTCAGATAGGTTGAAAAAAAGCTGCCTTAAAAAAATAAAAAGTCACTTTCCTGACCCAAACCACGTTTTTAAGAAGGCAGATTTGTTCTTTGAATGTCAAGGCACAGATTTCGTCCTGCTTATCTGATGGGCTGGATTGCTGAACAGCATTCATTAACCTTGTATGTCCAAAATCTCTTGGACCTCTTCTTATTAGTCATCTAACACACATTCACACCTAGGAGTCTCTTTGGCATGCTCAGCTCTAAGAGCCTTTCAGAGTATGAATGGAGCATTTAGTCAGGTGCATAAAGCTCCCATGCAGTTCTGCCATCTGCACTCTCCAGTGTGCTAAGCAAGGTATCAGTTTAATTTTCAATTTAAAATGGGCCATGCATTATTGACAGTCTGAGGCAGAGATGCAGACTTGTTCTGCAGGTCTAGTTCACGTTTAATCCAATAACCTACACATCTGCATGAAAAATTCACATCCAAAATCATGTTAAGTCTGAAAGACTCAGGACAGAATATTTGGGATCTTTGACATCTGCCTGGTCTCTTGGCTTACAGGTAAATGTGGCAGAATCCAGCACTAAATATGAAAACAATTTTAAAAAACCCTGACAAACTCACTTCACAAAATGTTATAGGGCTGGATTTCTGTCCTCCAAGAGATTCCAATTTTTAGGGTCTTACAAATTCTACTCTTTCCTTTACACTACTCAGCATCTTACATCAGTAGGACAACGCAGTGTCCAATCTTGATCCATTATCCCATGCACATCCCTTCATTCCTAAAGCTGTCTTTGTGTCATTTTTTTCAGCACGAGAACAATGACTTGATTGTCTTTCATCATCTTTTTTGCAGCTGCAAATATGGCTTTTATACATATATATTTACAGTTCACGCATAACATTGTGTGTGTATACATAGGTTTATGCCAGTGCATTTTACTAGTCAGAGTTCATCCTCCAATAATAAATACACCTTTTTCCATTCTAGGTTTCTAACTTGTCCAACATTAGGTGCAAAATGTGCCAAGAAAAGAAAGGTTAGCATCTTGCACATGTCTTTCTCTACACTGCTGTTCTGTTTTTTCCCTGTTTTACTGAAGAAAAGTCTATCATAATTTGCTGTAGACATTCAAGTTTTATCTATCATAGGCACAAAATACATCCTAACAACATCTCAGAGTTGAAAGACTGTGTAATTGGTACAACATCTCGAGGAGGAAAGAAGGAAAATATTCAGTGATTAAATATTCAAATATACCAACATTTTCTAGAGGACTGCACTGTCCTTAGAGGGGCATGTCTTTAGCTACCTGCACACCCAAATCCCTACTCTGTGCACAGCACGATGAGATTTACTGCACCTGCCTGCCAGGATAACCTTTGGCACCTGGACTTCCAGCTGGTCCTGGTTCACCCTTTGGAGAGAAAAAAAGAAAAGACACAAAAAGTCAGGTGAATGCCCCACCTGAGAAGCGTTTTTAGCTGAATCACTGTGGAATGGATTAACCTGATGCACATTTATCGAGAGGAAAACAATATTAAGGGTAGATAATGAAGTTAATTAACAAGGGGAGGAAACCCAGGGAAGCTAGGTCAACAGGATTCATGCAGTGAGCAAGTGCTGCTGTTTCTCCTTCTCCCTTCATCTGGGGGAAAGCAGCAGAGAATCTGGAACAAGGACACCAAGAGAAGGTGTAAGGCTGTGTCTATATCTGGCATATGGAACCGTTTTGCTGGTGGGAAAGCACTGCCAAAATTCTGCAAAACTAAATGGATTCATGTATAATATCCTTTAACATCATTGCTAACAGGGCCTGCTATTCATTGCTTTTTTTTTTTTTTTTTTTTTTTTAACTGCATTGCAAACATCAAACTTAACCAA